TATAATTATATTATATATACATTTTTCAATTCAATAATTCAATTTATGATATTAATAAGCATCTTGAAATTGCAAAGAATTTATTGCAAAAAATATATCACCTTATGAAGTGATATTTTTTTGTAATAAATATATATTCTTTGCAATGTTTTAGAATGCTTATTAGTATCGTTATTAAATTGACAATCAATGTGATTTGTAATATTTCCAACTTTAGTTTATAATTTTGTTTTAAATCCGACAAATTAAATTGAAAAATTTACATCCTAATAAATATTGTTAAACATCAGGATCCATTTGAATCGAAAATAGAATTCTCTCTGTTATTTAATTCATTTATATTTTTCATTTATTATTATTTATAACAATTAACTATATTTATACTAATTGGTGAGATGATGATTAAGTAAAGTTTGATTATATATTAGAAAATATATAATTAATTTATGTCAAATTACAATTAGTATTTGAAAGCCGCAAGACTAATAATATAATTCTTGTGAATCCTTCTGTAGAAAATAGAAAAATAAATCCTCATCATAAGATAGGATTATAATTAATTTTTATGCTATGAAAGGTGGAGATCATCTAAGAGATTCATCTAAAGATTTTAATACTTGTCGGAATGACAATGATGAAATTATAGTAGCTAAGGGTTAATAAACATGTGTATTTACATCAAGTCGATAGTACGATAGTAAATATATGATGCAATAAATCCTAAGGATTCAATGGTAATTATAGCATAAATTATTCCTAATATAATTTCCCAATATAATTCCGACACTGCAAGTGTATGGTTCAATAATTACGTATAATCCTATTTGAGATTATTTTGTCGCGACTGTTGAGGGTTGTACTAGAAATCATATCGCTTTCAACGATCAATTTCGAATAAGGTAAATTACGCAATTATGAATATTGAACAATTTATCTTTTTATCGTAGTGCCTTTTTATTTTATTCTTTTTTGCAATACATCTGAAAGAAAATAACAATTGAGTAGTAACTTTCCAATAAAAAGCACTACTCCGTTACATTACGCCACGGTCAAACACTCTTCCCCATCGAGGCACAAACGCGGATATTGGTCGCGTTACATTCCTGAAAAGTGCCCTACTACGTTCTTCTTTTCTTCGCGAAGAAGGAGAAGCAAAAAAAAAAGGAAAAAGTAAAAAGGACGAACGACCATCGCATACATATGTACATATGTTGCATGTGGGTGCGTTATGAGGCGAGGAGAACGCTTGGGGGTGAAGAACGCCTGCGCCGGCTGGAGTGCACCCCTATATAAGAGGCAACACATTCTGAAGAGCGATATTCACATTTGGAAATCCGCGTCACGACAGAGAGGCTGATCGTCACCTCCGAGAAGATGATGGGGTTCACCAGAAGTTATCTCGTGAGCTTATTCCTCTACATCTCCATTGTCAACGAGATTCGCCAGCCTGCGGTGAGTGGTCCCTTGCTAATTTGTCTTCTTCCCGCGACGCGAATAGTTCTTTGTAGCGCCGGACTTGAAAATATAAAACTGTTCTCTATTTTATTTAATAAACATCTGAATAGATAATATAAAATAGTTCGTA